ACATCCATGCTAATCCTCCTCTTTTTGCTGAGGAAGACTGGCTCTGAGCTAATATCTATTGCCAATCCTCCTCCTTTTTTTTTCCCCAAAGCCCCAGTAGATAGTTGTCTGTCGTAGTTGCACATCCTTCTAGTTGCTGTATGTGGGACGCGGCCTCCGTATGGCCGGAGAAGCAGTGGGTCAGTGCGCGCCCGGGATCTGAATCCAGGCTGCCAGCAGCAGAGCGCATGCACTTAACCACTAAGCCATGGAGCCAGCCCAGAGGGATTATTTCTTGTTAGAAGAAAACATTTTCTAATGTTCTGCTGTAGATATATATGAGTTTTTAGTTTTTAATGATTATCTGAATATTTGATAATTGCTTTTGTAAACACAGTTGAACAAGTAGCATGATGTTACAAATCTGAACTTGTGGAAATCTAATGTATAGACTCTAATATATCTGTATTGCTGGACCCAGAGAAATTTCCAAGATATTATTTTTTTCTTTTTTTGGTGAGGAAGATTAGCCCTGAGCTAACATCTGTTGCCAATCCTCCTCTTTTTCCTAAGATTGGCCCTGAGCTAACAGCTGTGCCCATCTCCCTCTATTTTATATGTGGGACGCCTGCCACAGTATGGATTGTTAAGCAGTGAGTAGGTCTGCGCCCAGGATCCAAACCCGTGAACCCCGGGCCACCAAAGCTGGAGCGCATGAACTTAACTGCTACTCCACTGGGCCAGCCCCCATATTTTTCCTTTTTTAAAACAATGACAGCATCTCCCCCATGATTCTAGAACTAGATAAAATTTAAGGACTGTAAGTCTTTCCTAAACAAAAATTAGTCAAACTCTGCCCTTTAGCACTAAATTTCAAAACAGAGGTTATATCTATGTTGCCATACCCAGTAAAGTAAAAGGTTGTAGCTACCTAGTAAATGTAAAACTGTGTACCACTGGAAAAGAATGAAAAAAATACACCACTTTGGTCAATAATTATGAATTTATTTGGTAATTTTATAACTCTCTATTGGCCTATACTTAATATGTGAAACTAAGAGTTCATTTACACAACAGAAAAAGTATAATTACCATGTTCATAAATTTTGGTTTTTTACATTTCAATTCCCAAAGCAAACTTCATTCAAGTTGGTAGTTCTCCTTAACTGTGACATTCAGCAAGTGAAGCTATATTTTATTTAATAGAAATTTCAGAAGTCTTGAGAGAGAATTCATAACAAGTAACAAAACTCAGGTACTATGTTACTAACTAAAAATCTTAAATATTCAACAGAAGTGTCAGCTTACCATACTTGGGGAATAAAAGTCAAGAAAAACAATTCAGCAGTTTACTAAATTTTCTTCCCTGTCTGAGCCCTGACCCAAGTTCTGCTTTGATAAGGAAGACAGTACTTTAAAAAGCAGAGGCAACAGGAAGGAGAGTGTTACTTCAATTTTAAGGTTGCTTTAAGTCAGAAGTTGCACTTTAAGTTCTCAATGTTTAGTTTAGATAAAACAACTGCAAAAACAGTGAAATCTGACAATTGTACTAACTCCAGACACATCTGATCTCGAAACTAAACAAGGGACCCTCCATCAACCAGGCCTGTAGATGAGTTCTGGTGCTTAGGGGCAGAGGGCAATCTAGTCAGGTAGGACAGAAACCCACATTGGGGCAGTTTTAAGGAAAATTCTGCCTGTTTAGGTTTCTGACACTTATTTTCTAGGACTCTAGCTATTTCTGAAAGTATCAGCAAACATTTGATAGGTTAATAGAGCTTATTGGGCTTAAAGGCTTTCCCCTCCCCAATCCCATGTAGTTACTTTGAATACTATGAATACAAAAGGCTAGCCATTAAAACAGTTATATAACACAAAGTCCAATATAAATACACAATTGCAGACGTAGTTGTAGTTCTTTAGATTGTGTTTTCAATGAGATAGTGCCTTTAAATATGAGTTTCACAGCCGTCATCCACTACCATTCAGTCATCCATTTGTTCATACAGGCCTCCATTTAGTTCAGATAACACAGAGATGGAGATGGAGAGAAATCAGGGGGGTGGGGGTGGGTGGATGTTGGGAGATAAGGAAAGGCAAGATTGCAGCTCTTGAACAGAACAGATGAGGAAAGAAAATAACAGTCTTGGGCCAGCAGAGGAGGAAAACCTTCCCTGTGGGCCTACAAAATGTGCCTGCCTGAGGGGCAGCTGGACACCCACAGCCCAATCTATCACGTACAGATGTGCGCCTACAGGCTGAGGGTTACATGCTCTCCTCTGTTGTTAGAGCAACTGACAGTCCTTTCCCACGGACAGCGCGTTCTAATATCCATGACCACACGTAATCCTCACAGGCAGTGTGAGCAGTGCTCCCCGTTTTACAGATGAAGATACTGAGGCTTAAGGGAGACTGACTGGCCCAGGATCAGACAACCAGTAAGAGGGCAACAGAGGAAACACTCAAACCCAGATCTTTCTTCAAATCAGGAGCTTTGTGCACAATCCTATGCAGTCTAATTAAGTTATTCAAGTCAGATTTATCACAGAACGTCAGAATTGGATAGAAGCTTAAAGCTCAAGTCTAGGCCTTTCATTCTCTAGGTGTTGGAAAGGGGTCCTGATTTGCCCTAGCTAGCACGTAACAGACACGGGATCAGAACTCTGGTTTCTTGACTGTTTCCAGTCTTTCCACTCTACCATCCTGCCTCAAAGTTAAAAGAAATACAAATGTTATACATACAAATTAGGGCATGCCAAAAGGTCACTGGAAATCACACAGCACACACCTATTCCTTTGAAACTCACCAGGAAAGCTGGTGGCGGCAACATCTCTATTCCCAGGAAATTGAAGGCCTTGGAGAAATGATAATAAGCACAGCCACAAAAACAGAGCTGCCGAGGAATCCATTCAGAATCGGCAGCCAGCTGGGGCACGTCATATGCCTGTTATGTTAAACTTATTAATAACTGTCTTCACAGAGAAAAGTCCTTATCCCTCCGTCCACTGCAGTTGATCACCAAAACTGCACATCAGTGTGGTTCTCACCTGAAGCATATTTACAGGTGGGTTAGATGGTTGCATAAACAATCACATTTTACAGCTTGCTTTAAAAGTAATGAGATTTTTTTAAAAAACACCTAGACTGAGAATCCATCTACCCACCCAGCCAAGAACTGACAAAGCAGCAGGTACTGCTCTAGACATTCATTCATTCCTTCATGAGATTATCAGATAAATCTAAGAGACTTGCTGACATGACCTCTCAGGCACGCAGTTCTATCCACACGTAGTGAAGTCCTCCTGCCAAGTAAACTTGGCACTTCCATATAAGACACTTGTTTCCACAAACCTGTTAGGCAGGAAATTGTGTCAAATCCAATCAGTATGTACTATACAGAACGAACTCAGTTCTAAAGGATAATCAACGCCCCAAAGGATATTCTGTGTTGGAGGAAGAGCTGTTGGGGGAGTTACAGTAGATGCTTATAAACATTTCCTGAGTGACTAAATGAACTAAATGAATTTTCCTGGCCCTTAGCAATAATCCTATGAGATTCCAGGAAGAAAACTAGCTTATTTATCTTCAAAGAATAACAATGCAATGATTCAATATGAATACTGTAATTCTGAACTTTGCCCCCTTCACTCTTGGCTTTTCACCTGTGGAACTCCCCAAGTGGACACGAGTGACTGGGAAGCTCCCTGTTATATATGCATCACTGTTTCCAACTGTGCAAACTTAACCTTGTCAGCTTAGGAGCCCATGAAGGAAAAAAGTCTTGTAAGAGTTAAGTCTTACAACAGAAGGCAAAAAGAAGTTTTGAGGTTTAGGAGGAATGAGCGCAGGAAGTGGTGATCTACCCTGTGTATCTGGGGGTGAAGCTCTTTTCCCTCATCCTTGGATGGGGAGGGAAAAACCCCAAACACGCTGAGGCTGAGGGGAGCCAGAGCACTGCCCCCGGTGCTCGGGCTTCACCGGAACCTAACCTCACGCCACCACCGAGCACAGCAGCCGCAGAGGGACGCCACCTCCAGGAACAGTTCCAGGAGTGACCTCAGGAATACACTATAAAAGATGGGACCTTGTTCTTTAAAAGTTCTACTTACTGAACTTTTATCACCTTCTAATGAAACCAGGGAAGATTTGTCCTTGTCTCAACTGTAACAACAGGACTTCTGACCATGTCACGCAGAACACATTTTTGACTGCAAGTCAA